AGCGGGAGGGGATGTGCCAGCGGCGGTGGGACTGCAGGTGCAGGGATGCGGGAGCTGCCTCGCAGCTTCTCTAGCAGGTTCTGTGTCTTGGGAGCGCTGTGCACACCGGAGGAGGACCCAGGGCCGTGGGGAGAGCCGGGCCGGGCGGGCGCCCCAACGGCCCCTCTGTGGTCACAGGGCCGGCGCTCTGGCAGCTCCGACAGCGGGTGGAGGTCGGTGCCCCGGACCAGGAGCTTCTGGATGGCCGGGCAGAGCTGCTCCTCCAGCGAGGGTGAGGGTCTCCTGGCCTCCTCGTGGGACAGGGAGCAGACGGCCCCCGGCCTCACCGGGATCTTCTCCTGTGGCGGCGGGGGGTGCCGTGGAGGCCCCGCCGGCTCGTGACACGGAGCTCTGTCCTGCTTCCCAAAGAGAGCCGACAGGGACAGGTGCTGGGGCTCAGCGTCTGGGGTCTGGAAAAAATAAAGACACACACACAGTCTGGTTCTGCGGGGCAGGGGTGGGGGCAGCGAAGCGGAGCTCACTAGCCGATGATTTCTTCTGTTCACAAAGGGTCAGAGAGGATGAAAACACTTAATGATAAACTTTACAAATTTGAAAGCTTTTTTTTTGAGAACTTTTTAATGCCACACATTTTCACAGCATTCTTCCCCCTACCACTCACAAGGCAGCTGCTGACTTTAGTAACTGTCAACTGATAGCACAGGCATGCGGCCCTTGATGGGCCCGGGGGTCACAGACTAGGGACCACCATGGCACAAAACCACAGACACTAAAGGGCGAAGAATCTCTTCAACAGGGCATCCATCTAACCCTACGAAGTATAAGACAATGCTGAGAATACGGAGAAATAGGAGGATGTCAGAATTCCTCGTAGCTTTTCACAGGATTATAGAAGTTTAGGGCTGGAAAGAAACCTATGCCATTGAGTCTAATCCCATCGTTTCAACTACGGAAGAGAAGCTTTAACGACCGCCGCCAGAGAGCGACTCCAGCCCGGTCACCGCCCCGCCCCCTTCCCGCCCCCTTCCCGCCCTCTTCCCGCCCCGCCACCCGTGCCTCTTTCTGCTGCTGTCTATTGTTGGGCTAAGAAAACATGAGCTTCATTCTCAAGTCAACACATACTGGCTTCTCTATGAAAACAGAAAATTTCCATGGAATACAAACTTAAAATCAAAGCTAAAAGACGATTAGAAAAGGCTTATTCTTTAAAAAAATTCAATGTAAGACTTGCATCAGTCTGACCTCCTCTGGTTATTTCTGCCCACGTTATCTAGTACCCGCCTCTGAGCACCCCCCCCACCTCCCACCTTCATGTCTTTTGGCTCCATGTTCATTCTCAAAATTGGTTTAAACCAAGTGCTTAGGAAAAACCTTTAATGAGGAACAACCGTAAGAAACAGAAAGAGCCACCGTGCCCCTGCACTCAGCACTGGGACGGGCAGGTCAGCGAGTCTGCTAAGGCTGCACTGCTCTGAAAAACACACACACATACGGAAGCGCGGTCGTGTCTGCATCCCAGATGCAAACCCAGCGACAAGCCACAGGCTCTGCAGGGTGCTGTGATGCCAGTCCTCGGACCAGGGCTCCCACGCGCACACCGGCAGCCCCAGCCCTGGGGCGGGGGCTGAGGCTCTCCCAGGGCCTGGGAGACCAGCCATCGGCCTCGGGAGGCTACGTCAGCTCTGACGTGATACTTACTAGGTTATTGCCGTTTTAAGATACCTTTTTATGCTCTAAGGAGTTCAAATCCACAAGAGATTAGTAC